TTTCAAAATTGAAACCCGGTGCGGGTGTTTTTATATCACTGTATTTCTGAAGGAAACCAACTGTCTTCAGAAAATTTTGGATGTTATTTTCATCTCTTCTTGCATGTAATGTCTGATAAAGCAGTGTTTGTGAGCGAAGCCAAAGTCCTTTTAAGTATTCTAGTCATTGGCGGAGCGCTGCTTTGTGTACAGCCGTTACCGGGGAAACCTCAATATCTACCACTCCAACAGCGCCTCCTGCTGGCAGAGAATGAATTTGCATATATATGCCGCCACAAATAGAGTGCAAGTCTGTGGGAAACACCGCTTCTTTTATGGATATTATTCAATAGTTTAATTTGAACGTCGGATTGAAATGAACGCTGTTATTAGAGTAGGTAATCGTTAGCATAAGCGCGGCTAACGCTAATATAATGAGCATTAGAATTAAGTTTATTTATTAACTATTTAATGCTCCTATAACTTTTATTAGAGTAAAACAGGAGGACATGATGATATTTACTATGTTTACACACCAGAGGCTTTTAAATGAATTGTGAATCTAAAATATGCGTGTTAGAGAAAGTACAAATGGTTAAAGGGGTCCTATTATGCTTTTTCACTTTTTCAACTTTAGTTAGTCTGTAATGTTGCTGTTAAAAAAGATATGCGAAGTTACAAAGCTCAAAGTCCAATTCAAAAGGAGATATTTTAAGGTTTTAAAAGCCCTTTAAAATTAAATATGTACACAGTTTGGATTAAATGAAAGTATAGTCAAATGTTTTAATTTGTACCGAGAACCGTGGATTTTCACTGGTATTGGTAATACTGAAATTTTGGTACCGTGACAACACTAGTATGAAATAAAAATGTCCAACTGCTTGACTTTCATTCAGTTTCTTGTTCTATCTATCCATCGTTCCGTCTGTCTGTCTGTCTGTCTGTCTATCAATCTGTCTGTCTGTCTATCAATCTGTCTGTCTGTTTTCTAAAAACACTCTACAAATATGTTACTGTCTATCCGTCTATCCGTCTATCCGTCTATCCATCTGTCCATCTGTCCATCTATCTATCTATCTGTCTGTGTGTCTGACTGTCTGTGCGCGTGCTCGGCTCCGGCGGGCGGGCGCGCGCCTGCGTGACGTCACTGGTGTGAAGAAGATGGCGGCGCTCGTGAAGGCGGAAGGTAAGTGGCGGAATCCGTCGCCGTTGCGGTTACGCGTTACTGTCAGCGCGCTAACAGCGGTTTATCAGAACCCGTCCGCACCGTTCGGCTCGGTCCCGGTGTGCGAGCGCGATTCTGTTCCTCCTGCGTTAGTGTATCGCGTGTGTGTTTATATCCCGCTTATCGGGGTGTGTGTGTCAGTCCGGGGCCTTTGGGTTTGTCATATTTATGTTTCTGAATAAAATAATGAATCTCAGACGGTTTCGGTCGGTCCGGTCTGCGTCGACGTGTGTGTGTGTATGTGTG